AATATTTTTTAATAATTCTAATAATTGTTTCATTATTAAACTACCTTTATCTTCATCTATTTTATATAAATAATTGACAATTATCATTTTTTCATCATTTGAAATATATTTAAATAAATTTATATTATTATTCAAATATTTTGTTAATTTTAATTTTTCTAATGATAATTTCCATAATGATAATGATTTTAATCGTAATTTTTCTATTATTAATAGATTATTATCATTAAAACAACAATATATTTCACATTCGATTAATAGATTGAATATGTCAATTAAATATTTAATATCATGTATATCTAATTCATGATTATTATTAGAAGAAGATGATGTACATTCAATATATTCTATTACTGAATAACCAAATGTATCTAAAAGTTGAAATATATGTTCCATATTATTATCTATTTCATCATTTGAATAATTTAATAATAATAAATGTTTTAATTTAAATAATAATTTAAATAATTTTTGTTTATACAAATAAGAATTTGAGTTTGAATTCGACATACTTTTAATTAAATTTATTTCAATACGTAAATATAATATTTCAAATAACCATTGATCTGTATGTACAAGAAAGGTACAAAACAAAACATACAGATCAATGGTTATTTGAAATATTATATTTACGTATTGAAATAAATTTAATTATTTAACGTTGCTTATTTTGAGATTCCATCAGAGGACGTCGTTGTTAGAACACATAATATTTTTGGAAAACTGAATAAAATACTCTATGAATAATCCTTATGGATGGATCATTTAAATAGGAAGAAATTATTTTTACATTGTACCTAAAAGACGATATCAGCGATGTTTTCAGTATTTTTTTCTCCATATGCAAACGAGAATCCAACTTGTATTTGTATAGAAAAATAGCCCTTGATTTACTCTACAATATTCTATATAAAGAATCTTTAACCATAGTTGACCGAGTCACTTATAATTTCTACAACAGACAAATTACACCTAAAAGACGAAATTTTTTTTCCGCAAAATCGTGGTCAAAAATATTCAAAAAAGACCAGACTCATCTA